GAAAACTGTTATCCAAAATGTCCCTTCAAACATGAAACTGCATTTTTTTTACATTCAGAACCATATATGACCAGTCATTAGCATAATGCATTCCTTTCATAGTGTTATTCACTATATTGGAGGTCATAGATTTGGATACAACATTAAGGAGTATAGATACATTTTCTAAAACAATGCTAAGACTCAAAATTTTTCTATTAGTTATGTCTGATGTTGTATACCATGATGCAAGATAATCAAGAGCAAAATTAAGAAAAAGGAACCAATAGGATTTGTAAGCAATATTTTATTTATGAAACATAAAATACCGTTAAATATGTGTTAAAACAAATCAAGCAGACACCATGCAATCACATCCAGAGGAATATAAGGAAAACGTGGTCACAGACTATTTAGAGCCCAAGACTTAAGCCCAGATACTTTTAACTTCATCCTAGTAAGCCACCTCACAAGACTTAGCTACTATCTTCAAGGAAACATGTAAAGCCAAGTTCTTTTGTCACTTATATTTGCTAAAAGTGTAATATTTTTAAGCCTGGAAATTACGTAATTTCCTACATTTAAACTCTCAGAGTTTAATTTTTGCCTGTCCCAATTCCCCACAGGAACAGCACATTTCCCCAGTCTATATAATTATGTAATTACTATTAAAAATCTTACCCGATTTCAGTTGCAAGAGAATTAAACCTAAAAATAAGTCTGCAAGTAATAGTGAAGTTCTTTTGGGTATACACTGACACTGTATGATTGATATTACCAATATGGAATGATGATCATGTTAAATAAAATTGTTGACCTATGAATCAGTAGGTTACGGTTTAATTCCTGGTCAGGGCACATGCTTGGGTTGCAGGCTCAATCCTGTGTGTGTGTTGGGGGGTGGGGGGGCATACAGGAGGCATGATTCTCTCTCATCGTTGATTTTTTTTCTCTCTCCCCCCTCTCCCTTCCTTTCTGAAATCAATAAAAATATATTTATCCTAATTAAAACCGTATTAAATAGAGTATCTGATTTTTGACCACTCAGGACTTAAGCAAATGTAAATATTTAAAATGTAAATGTCATGTTAAAAATGCTTTAAAAGTTTCAAAATTATTTTGAAGACCCTCCTAAAAGAAATTTGTCACAGGTTGTGGAAAATAGCTTTAAATAATTACATAGTACACACACATCCCACCCAGAAGTTGAACGTATTTGCAAATGAGTGCAATATAAAGGCTTCTAACATCATGCACTGAAAAGTCACTTGGCAAATATCTGCCTGGAAGTCCAGGCACGTTTATTATAATAATTCCCTAAATACCATTATTAAAATTTTATGGTACAACTTTTAACATTAGAAAATAATAAAGCCGTAAGATAAATTAGGTTATTAACTAATTTCTTTTTGTAAACTAGAGAACATATGTCACTTACTTTATTAGCCTGAATCAAATGAAAATCCTTTCCATAGGCCTTCAGCCCTTGTTCAAAATTTCTACACTCTTCTTCTGTCCAAACAGACAATTCCTCTGACAAAATGGGAGGAAAACAACTGTTAAGAAATGTTCTCCAAATGTTGTATATAACAAAACTGCAAATAAAAATATAACTTTCTGGTCACAATAAAGGAAGTACTTTACCCCTAAGCTCTATTACTTATAGCTGCAAATGACAAAGTGACAAAAACGCCTTATTAATAAAATTTTGCATGATACCCTATGTCTCCAATCTCAACTTGAACCACTTTCTCCTTTATTCTTTATGACCCAACTATATGAGCCACCTGTCAATTCTTTAAATTTATGTTTTTTCTTTAGAATCTGTGCACACGGTTACTTTTGCCTGGAATTATTTCCTGCCTCAAACATCCCAACAAAAATATCACTTTGTTCTAGAAGCTTTCCCTAACAGCCTCACCCTTTCCCTCAACTACATTAAGTTCCACTGCAGTAAGTTTGAAATGCACCCTTTAGTTCTCCTTTAAGAATGTATAACTATTTTCCAGTTTCCCTACCATCTCTAAGCACCATGAGGGCAAGGACTTTGTTTATAGTTATGTCCTTAGTATTTAGACCTTCCAATTTTTGTTGAACTAATCTTTCATTTGTTATATAATAATATATAAAGAGTTGAGAGGAAAAAAAACACACAAAAAACCCCCAAACCCAGACTTTACTTATGACTATTTATGAATAATGATTGCCTCAGCTAAATTACTTCCGTTCAGAGACCTCAGTCTTATCAATTTTGAAGTGAAGGTAACATTTGGCACGTAATTTAGAACCAAGATCGAATAAGATGTTTATAAAAATGTGTTGAAATTCTAAAGCAATACGTAGTTTTATTTAAATGGCTTTATTTTCGCTAAAGAAGGGACAACCTTAATCCCATTTCCCATAATGCCTTTTACAAGGGTGGCTTTTTTTAAAAGAAAGTAGGCTTATGGTTGTGAGTACGAGAAAGCTTATTACTATATTGTTATAATATAATCATAACCGGCATGTCTTTTTCTATAGGAACTGTAAATCTACTTTGCCCACCCCTGTAAAACTCTTGCTGCTACACAAGTTATTTAACAAGTTATTTGTTATTTAACAAATATTTACTAAATTCAGAAATATCAGTATTATTAAAAGAAGACTATAGCTAGGTAGACCTAAGAGCTTAAGTTTTAAATTTCTGCTACATCATGAAAACAAATTTAGTATTTATTTATGCTTACCTCTAGCTGCTTTTACATTAAATCTTAATCTTCTCAATGCTTCTTCTGTGTCAAAATTGCATTTAACCAATTCATATAATGCCTAGAAAAATAAAGGATTTAAATATAAGCTACAATTTCTTGAGAGTAAAGGCCTTTCCAAAATCTAGTGTTTTCATCCTTTCTGGAGGACAAATAATTCCAATGAATGGAACACTACAGAGAAACAAACTTAACCCCAATCCTGATAATTAGCTACCTCTAAAGCAGTGGTTCTCAACCTTCCTAATGCTGCGACCCTTTAATACAGTTCCTCATGTTGTGGTGACCCCCAACCACAAAATTATTTTTGTTGCTACTTCAGAACTGTAATTTTGCTACTGTTATGAATCGTAATGTAAATATCTGATATGCAGGATGTATTTTCATTGTTACAAATTGAACATAATTAAAGCATAGTGATTAATCACAAAAACAATATGTAGTTATATATGTGTTTTCCAATGGTCTTAGGCGACCCCTGTGAAAGGGTCGTGCGACCCCTGTGACAGGGTCGTTCGACCCCCCAAAGGGGTTGCAACCCACAGGTTGAGAACCACTGCTCTAAATATTTAGAAAATAAGATAAACAAATAACTTAAGTTGGCTTCACAGTATCACAGGAATTTAGAAACAAAAAAGTTGTATAAAGATAACAAATTCTTTCTTTTTTGTCCCTTTAGGGTTCCTATTCTAATTTTGAACACATCAGAAAAGAAAAACACTAATTAAAAAAGGTAAAAAAAAAAAAAAAAGAAAAGAAAAAAGCCTGGCTGGGTGTGGTTTAGTGGTTGAGGGTCGACCTATTAACCAGGAGGTCATGGTTCAATTCCTGGTCAGGGCGCATGCCTGGATTGGGGCTCAATCCCCGAAGAGGGGCATGCAGGAGGCAACTGATCAATGATTGACGATATTTCTGTCTCCCTCTCCCTTGCCCTCCCTCTCTAAAGTCAATAAAAATATATTTTTAAGAAAAGGTAAATATAAATAATGCTGTCATTAGGTTTGCAGTAGCCACTGGTATGTAATAACATTATACTAGATGTGCACAGTATTGCCAACTTGATGAGATCCAAAGAAACTTTTCTCTCTCATTGATATTTCTACCTCCCTCTCCTTTGCTCTCTTTGAAATCAATTAAAAGTGTTTTATAAAGCCTAATAAAAAATATGTACAGGCAAACTGAAATATCAAGATTTTTGTTTGTTGAGCTGAAATCATACCCATAGTATGTGCTAACACTGGGTATCTTATGTTGATCATAACCTCAGATTCCATTCATAACATTATAGGAATTTTGGTGGATAGAATAACTAAATGTGACAGCATCTACAGTTAAAATATGTATATGATTAATTTATTTGGGGGAAATTGTAACATTTCTTATTCATGTACCTGTTCATTGTCTTTTATGTGAGATCCTTCAGGAATTGCTTCTACACCTTTCTCATCACCTGTTCTTCTAGATGCATCCTTAAGAAATATAATCACTCTATCTTCTGGTAAGTACTCAGGATCCCACAGGAGTTGATCATCATTTTCATATACTAAATTAATAAAACATCGTATTTTTTAATTGCCAAAATTTGAGAGTTTGTTAAACATATCATTAAACAAGTAACTCATACTTAGAGCCAAAATGATAAACACTGAAAGGTAAATTGTGGTCCTACCACTTGCCTAACTTCAATCTTGGACAATATTCATAGCCTAGGTGAATAAGCAATCTAACCAGAGAAGTACCACTTTATCCTCTTTCAAATTCTGTCTTACTTAAGTTTAGTTATCAAATTCCAAGCTCTCTTGGATTGGATAGCAACACCAACACTTACTACCTATTATGACCGTAGGCAAATTATTTCTCTTCTCTCTGCCTCACCTGTGAAATGGGCTTCACAACCCTACCACATAGGGTTATGAGGATTTAAAATAATTTAAAACAATTCTGGCACATTTTAAGATTTAATGGATGTTCAATATTTTTGAAAAGGAATATCTAAAAATTGCTCACCCAAATGCTAATGCTGCTTATTTCTTGGTGGTAGGATTTGGGGCAATTATTTTCCTATGATGCTTGAAAATATAATGAATATAAATAACTTTCATAAAAATGAGTCATTTTTTAAAAAGCATTTAGGTTCCATCATTAAAATTTCCATTATAGTAAGAATAAAGCCTGAATCTCATAAAAATATTAAAAGTGAAAGGAATGGAGGAGAACCTGAGGGAGCCTTGTGGAATTCTAACACACAGGAAGATGAAAACACAGACAAAATTAAGAAGGAACAGTCACAAGATAAAATATCAAAACCATGGTAGCACAGCCGCTAGGTGAAGAAAATGTTTCAAGGAGTGATAAACTGGTCAAATGCTGAGACCAGACTGAACACTGAAAAAAGGTATGCTGGATTTATTAACAAGGAGAGAGGGAGATGTTTCAACAACATTCTGTGCAGAGATAGAAGCTGAAGTCATACTGGAGAGAACTAAGGAGTAAATAAATGGTGAAGAAATAAAGCGGAAAACTCTTGGAAAGTTTGGTTGTGAGGAAGAATAGGGCAGTAGTTAAAGAGGAGGTAGAGTGGAAGAAAGTCTGGTTTTGTTTGTTTTTTAGAGAGAGATGAGACATTATCATTTAAATGCCAATAAAAATGCCAGCTGGAGAAAAATATTGACTCTAAGAGATAAAGGATAACTGACAGTGTCAAAGTTACCTTTGCTATGAAAAAGAAATTAAGAGCTAAATGTTTCCTATGTACCAGGCAATATGCCAAGTGTTTTCATGAACATTACCTGCTCCACCCACCCACCATACAGTTTAAATATCCTATCTTTCTTTCCCCCAAAGTTTATATTATTAAAATACAGCACAAAGGACAGTCTCTAGAAAATTTCCTTTGTAAACCTCATGCCTTTTTAAATCTGCTGTAGAATCCTAGTGAAACTCTAAGTTGTAAATACTATAAAACTCCCATGACAATGTGAATTTGAATATACTGCTATTGATTTCTATTCCCTGCTCAGTCCATGTTCGCTGAAGGTTATAGACTAGTTATATTTTTGGAGTGATGGGTATGGGGTGGACAAGGCCTTACAAGGAAACCTGACTCAGGAAGAGGAAGGGGGTCTCTGAGTCCCAGTGTTCTCCAGTTAGATACCCCCACATAAGGCCTATGAAACCAGCACAACCTGGGAGATATGTCTAGAATCATTCTGGAAGTCCTAGGAAGCCAAGGATACAATCTTGAAAGGTCATACTATGATCAATGACATGAATTTTAAGTTATCTAGCTGAGCTTTTCCAGTTACTTAACTTCACTTTTATGAAAGATCTACATTAGTAACTTTTTGCTAATCAAAAGGTATCTGGAGACAATTTTCACTTGTATGAAAAAAGGCAAAAAAAGTGGAAAGGGCATTCAGCTTTGTTCTGTAGTGAGCCTTTATAGAGCCAGTGTGCCTGAGTGGCGCCACCAAACTTCTGCCTTGGATACTACACCCACCATTTAAGCATCAAGCCGCCATGGTTTCTTACTGTCTATTATCTGTGATTTACCTCGATTTTGTGCATCCATTTGGCAAGATGTACCCTAAGGTAAAAGAGAGCCTATATCATTCC